TTTAACGTTTTTGATCATGTATGCAAAATACCAAGAATCGATCCATTCTCCCCTGATGTCATGGCCATATTTGAGCCTCCCAAGCCCAAGACGTGTACGGATCAGCCCGACCTATTCACTGTGCGATTTAACAAGATGCAAAAGCAATATCGATTGCGCTTCAATAAATCTCTATTCATGGAACTATTCCCAAGTGTGATCAACTATGCGTGCGTCTTTTACGAGATAGTTAGTGGACCAAGTGAGACACCCATTTGGTATGTACTCAACTACCTTAAGCTGACCTCCATTTAAACATAACACCGCATTCAGGAAAAAGGGATCACCATTTACTTGTAGTGACCGGATCGTGCCCCGTTCCATTCTAGGAATTGTCGTGGAGTGCTACGAGTTAGGCAACAGCTCTCGAGTTCTACAACGCGATGCATTCTCTTTTATCCAGCATCCAGTCGGACGGAACGAGGCGAACGATGAGAAGCGCAGTCGGGCCTACCCCAGTGTGATAATGTTGGGCATTGACTCCATGTCGCAGATGAACTTTCAGAGGACAATGCCATTGACAGCAAAGTTTGTGAGACAGCTGGGGTGGTATGAGATGCTTGGCTATACTAGCGCTGGAGATAATATGCTCTACAATCAAATTATTTTTCTCACCGGTCGGGCACTGCCCCAATGGCAGGACTTTTGCGATATGGCGAAGCCTGGTTGCTTGGATGCTATTATCTACCTGTGGAATCATTTTCACAACTTGGGATATCTGACTGCCTATGCGGAAGACTCTCCGTCTTTGGCCTTTACACGCAAGCCCGTGGATTACTATCTGTTTCCCATTCTGAAAGTGTTCAAGGAAATTATGGAGGGAGATGGGCGCCGTCCCCCTGACGGCTCCGACTACTGCCTGGGCCGGAGAGAGAGTTTCCGCTATGTTTTCGAGTCTTGCCTGCAGTTGGTACAGCGATTCATTAATGAGACGCACAAACCGCTCTTCGGGCTCTTCTGGACGAAGAGCTTCAGCCATGAAGACTTTAGTGCAGCAGCACGCGTGGATAGGGATTTCGTGAGGTATCTTGAGCTGTACAGGGAGCACGGCTTATTCGATAAGGCAGTTGTCGTCTTGTTCAGCCTCCATGGGCAACGTAAGGGACCTTTGATGGGACTGGCCTCGGGCTTTTTGGAAGAGCGACTGCCCATGCTGCACATCTATCTGCCGCCCTGGTACCGGCGACAGTACCCAGACGTCGGACAGACACTTGAGGTGAATCGTCGTCGGCTGACCTCCACATATGATTTGCATTTGACCCTTAAGAATCTGCTCGTGCAGGTGCATCCCGGCATTGTGTTCCAGAGAGAGCAAATAAAAGCTCAATCGTTATTTGTCAAGTTGGCTGTGAATCGCAGTTGCGAGGATGCTGGGATTTCCCTTTACTATTGCAGCTGTGATTTGCATATGACAGTGGCAAACAATCAGCGTATGACTGAGTTAGCGAAGACAGTTGTGTATCGCGTCACACAATATCTGAGTAAGCCGGATTTCGGAAGTAAATGTTATCAACTAAAATTCGATAGACTGTTAAGAGCCGAGCGGAAGCAATATTTCGACAGTAATGGAAATGAGGTGGGGCCAAAGGATGGAATATTTTGCTACCATTTGAAGTTTACAACGCAACCGAAAGCGGTTTTCTATGCAACAGTTCTCAGCAGCAAGCGGGCGAGTATTATAAAGGTTCGTGGGGATTTGATACGACGTTTGGATTTCATTCCGAACAGAACCAATTGTGTGGATGAGCCCGAGGCAAAAGAAATCTGCCTTTGTAAACCAAAAGCTTAATGCTTAATGCCGGATGAAAATATTCATTCCTGAATCCATGAATAAATACACATTGGGATTAAAGGAATACCCAGTAATCTGCATGTTCTGCGAGTACGATTTATTATTATTTATTCATTATAAAGCAAACATTCAGTTTACAGTCACCAACTAGACAAATTCGAAATTGAAAAAAAAAAAAAAAATAAAAAAATAAATAAAATATAATAAAGAAATGACTCTTCAATTGATTGTGAAATACAGAAAGCAAACACTTGCCATTATTTTAGTCTTCTTTGTCTTCGTACTTGTCAATCGTGATGGAAATTCAATCGTTGAGAAACAAATTAGTTCAGCCGTACCGAAGCTTACCACTATGTTCCAAGGCAAATCGAGTACAGAGCGCACAACTTTTAAGCCCTTGAATACTGACAAGGACTTCAATGTATTTGATCACAGATGCAAAATACCACGGATTAATCCGTTTTCTCCCGATGTCATGCACATTTTTAAAACAGAAAGATTTAAGGAGTGCACGGATCAGCCCGACTTAATTTCCGTTCTTTATGATGGGATAAAGAGGCAATACATTGTGCACGTGAACGAGTCGGTGTTTGCAGAATTATTTCCAGATATTTTGGCATTTTCGTGCGTCTACTTTGAGGTGTTACGCGGAGCGAATGATTCCCTAACCTGGTGTGTTTAAGCGAATTGAATTGGATATGAACAAGCATGGGCTATAATAATGCTAAGAGAAAATAAAATAAGCATATTTTATTTCTAGGAATGTTGGACCCCTCACCTTTGGCCAGAACTGGATCGTACCTCGTCACATTGAGGGAATTGTCATGGAGTGCTTTGAGCTAAGAAACAGATCGCGAATCCTGCAACGCGATGCATTCTCTTTTGTCCAGTATCCTGTCGGGCGGAATGAACAGCAGGATGAGCAACGTAGTCGGACCTACCCTAGTGTGATAATGTTGGGCATTGACTCCATGTCGCAGATGAACTTCCAGAGAACAATGCCACTGACAGCAAATTTTGTGAGACAGCTGGGCTGGTATGAGATGCTTGGCTATAACAAGATCGGGGACAACACCTTGCCCAATGTAATGTCTCTATTGACGGGTCTTAGTTCGAATCAGTGGCGTGCTCAGTGCAACATTCATGAGCCGGGCTGCTTCGACCAATTCACGTATCTCTGGAACCACTTTCAAGAGGCTGGCTATCTGACGGCCTATGCCGAGGACACGCCTTCTATAGATACATTTCACTATTTCACATTTGGCTTCATCCGCAAGCCGGTTGATTACTACCTACGCCCTTTTATGCTTATGATCCAAAACACTTTGAATACGATTAAGCACTTCGGCTATGAATATTGTCTTGGTCGGAGGCAAGGTTTTCGCTACGTTTTCGACTATTGCCTGCAGCTGGTGCAGCGTTTTGTTCGCGATTCCCCGAAGCCGATCTTCGGAATCTTTTGGTCGAATGGCTTCAGTCACAACGACTTCCGTGGGCCGGCCAGCGTGGATAGGGATTTTGTGAGCTACTTGGAGCGGTACAAGGAGCACGGGCTCTTCGATAAGGCAGTTGTAATACTATTCAGTGACCATGGCCAGCGGCAAGGAGCGTTGATGAGCTTAGCCTCCAGTTTTCTGGAGGAGCGATTGCCCATGCTGCACATTTATTTGCCGCCCTGGTTTCGAGAGCAGCATCCAGAGTTTGTGCAGGCGCTTGACTGGAATCGTCATCGCTTGAGCTCGACATTCGATTTGCACTTGACTTTGAAGCACCTGCTCCTGCTCCAGGGGCAATCGAGCCTCCAATTCAATTCATTCTGCGCGAAATGCCAATCGTTATTCGAGCCGTTGCCAGTCAATCGCAGTTGCGAGGATGCTGCCATACCGGAGCACTGGTGCACCTGTGATTCGTATGTGCAGGTGCGCATCAGTAATGTTTTGATCTATTGGGCCAAAACAATTGTCTATCGCATCAACGAATATCTGGCTAGCCGAAATTATGCAGCGAAATGTGTTCGCTTGAAGCTGGCAAAGTTGCTGAGGGCCGAACGCAAACAGATCTTCGATGATGATGGCAACCCTGTGCTGTCACCCCAAAGCATTCAAACTTATCGCATTAAGTTCGTCACTCGACCAAATGGAGGTTTGTTTCGTGCCACATTTCTAACCGACTCGCAGAACCATGTTATGGTACAGGAGGAGTTCATAACACGATTGAATTCATATCGCAATGAGTCGTTCTGTGTCTCCGAACACGTTGCCCAGAAGTTTTGCGCTTGCTTCGAGGCTAGTCGAACATTTTCGATTGATATTATTAATGTGAACGACCAAGGAACTCCATGTTAAATAAAATATTAACATTGAATCGTTTATAATAACTATTATTTTATTTACCTAGTGAGTGAAATGAGCATATTGGTTATACATCCTGTCTGTCCGACCTGATAATTCTTTTTCCAATAACCCTATTATATTAGATACGAGAATTAAAATTTTCAGTACGCTATTAACGCTGATTGTAGACGTGGCAAGTGGGCTAAACGGTATCTCCTACCAATTTTAGGTTAATATTCCTGAGGAAGACACCTTCAAGGAGTTGTTTTGTTCCTTGTCTAATCCTTAAGAGTTGGACACTGTCTATATAAATATATTCATAATTGTATTTGAGATTTTATCAAAGAACTCTAGGTAAACAATGTTTATTTTTTGCTTAGATTCAGCTTTAGTTTAAACATTTCAGTAAACACTTGAGGCAAGCAGTTTTTTTTTAAATTCGTTCTGAGGGAATGCCAAGACTTAAAAAAATGCTAATGTTACGCAAATATGTTTTCATCTTCTTTGGAGTACTGTTGGTATTCATTTGGCTAAATCACAGAAACAAGAGCAATGAACAGAATGTGTTCGAGCAGGTTCCAGCCGTAACCAAGGATATATTACCAGACACGTCGCCGTCGAACGTAATTGCAAGAGAACAGAAAATACGTGAAATGATTCGGGCTAATAGAATTCTAGGACGCTCTTCCTCAGTGCGTAAAGTTCAACCGATAGACAAACCGAAGGTATCCAAAATTAGATTTGCCGATGAGCTTGGTGGTTTCGATACAGACGACGATGATTCGTTCGAGATGGTTGAAAAGCCAGCGCGTTATCTGGTGAATAGTAAGAAATGTAAGATGCTTTTTGCCGATCCCTTTTCGCGTGCGGTAATGGAGGTCTTTAAGCCCCCCAAGCTGAAATCCTGCTCCAATTCGACCGATGTATTTCGCGTGCAATACGATGAGCAGGCGAAACACTATAACTTGATTGTTGATCGAGATATCTTGCTGAAATTGAATCCACTCGTATCCAGAGTCGATTGCAACTATCGAGAAATAACTATAGATACTGAGAAGAGGCCCGAGCATAACAGCAAGTAGGTCGAAACATCTTTTGATCACTTAACCCCCCTTTCTAACACCCCGTTCACTTCCCTTAGCTTGAATGCGCCAGTTTACTTTAGAGGACAATGCGCTTTGCCGCGAGATGTGAAGAGTATTATGGTCGAGTGCCATGATGCATTAAAAAGTTCGAGAATTTTGCAACGGGATGCGTTCATCTTGATTCCAGTGAACGATACCAGCAAAAATACTGAGAATCGTCCGCTGGAACGTCAGCCCAGCGTAATAGTCCTCGGTTTGGGCAGCATGTCTCGCATGAACTTTCAGCGCACAATGCCAAAGACGGCTAGATTTGTCAATCGAAAGGGCTGGTTCGAGCTGGAGGGCTACAACAAGGTGGCCGACAGTACTATACCAAATTTGTTGACTATTCTGTCGGGTCACACAATGGGACATCTGGAGCAACGTTGTGCCCTGGAGTCTAATGGCTGCTCGTGGATATGGAACGACTACAAACGTGCTGGCTATGTCACAGCTCTTGCCGAAGACAACGTCGGTGGGGCGGCCTTCCTACAAAATATGACTGGCTTCGAGGATGTGGCCGTCGACTATGATCTTCGTCCGCTTCTGGTGGGCATTGGTAGGGCATTCAGTTTGTACGAGAAGGTTAAACATAGTTACTGCGTCGGCAGGCGATTGGGCATTTCGTATGTCTACGAGTTTTGTGCCCAGTTTGCAGAGAGCTTCGCCCAGAAGCTGGAACAACCAATGTTTGGCTTCTTTTGGAGCAACACAGTCACTCAGGACTCGAACTTTGCTGCCTCCGGATTGGATGGCATATTTGCAAATTATCTGAATAGGCTCGAGAAGGGGAAACTATTTGATAATTCGATCGTTGTCCTAGTGAGCGACCATGGTGCACACGATGGCGTGCTCATGGACCTGTCTGATGGCTTCCTTGAGGAACGCTTGCCTTTGCTGCATATCTACCTGCCGCCGTGGTTCCACAACACCTATCCGCACTACGCTCAGGCCTTGGCCATGAATCACAATCGCTTGTGCTCGAACTTTGATCTGTATAATACGCTGAGACACCTGCTCCAGCTGAATGCCACGACACCAGCGATGCTGCCCGCTCTGGCCAGTTGCCCGATGAGTCAGTCGCTGTTTCATCTGCTGCCCATGGAGCGCAGCTGTCGGGACGCTTGCGTCAAGGAGCATTGGTGTACTTGCAACGAGTTTGTCAAACTGAGTCTGGATGGTGAAATGTATTTGCTGGGCAAGCGTGTGGTATATCATATTAATCGTTGGATGCTGACGCATCACTACAATGAGGTCTGCCAGCGTTTGGGTCTGCAGGACATGGATATGGCGGAGCAGAAGATGTCCTATGAGGAGAATGACAGCGAGTCAACGTATGGTTCCATTGTAGTCTATCGCTTGCTTTTCCGCACCTATCCCGATGTTGGAAAATTCCAGGCAACCGTTCGTTATAATCGCGAACTCGAATCGATTGAGGAGCTGCATGTTCCAGATATTAGTCGCTTGAATAGCTACAAAAACAGTTCAGAGTGTGTTCAGGATGAGATTGCTAAAAAGTTTTGTTTCTGCTATCCCAAGACAAATTTAAGTGATGCCATGAGGGAGTGGCAAACGCAAAAGATAACAACTATTCCAGCCTTTTGAGTCATTCAAGCTTAATAACAGTGTTTAATATCGTAAAATTTTGTGTGATATTTATTTTAAAATTAAAATTAAAACACTTTAATTCAGATACCAAACGTAATTTGTATCAAGTCTTCAATCGTCCCTGCATTAATCGTTATGCATGTATGTAATTAAAGTTGAAATCTCTATTGAAATCTAATATTTAAGTTTTAGCACACTCTTTATCGATAATTTTTTAATTGTTATCGACGTTGTGCAACACTTTTCTACGACCTGCCAAAGTAATTCAATGCAATTGAAGTTCTTTTCATTAAGTTTGTTTTTGTCACCTTGAGCAAACATAATTTTCTCTAATAATTTTCTAAAGAGTTCTAAAATGGGAAAATCCGAAAAAAATATCGTGAAATATAATAAAAATAAGAAGGGGGATGAGGGAATTAAAAAGAATTTTAAACTAAAACGTTCGCGTTCCAGCGGCAATTGGAAAGTCACACCAGTTAATGCCGTCGCAGACGTGGCTGAAAATGAAATGGTCACTGTTGCTGTGACTCTCAATATGGATGGTGCAGATGATGAGCCAATCGACCTGAAACGTCCTCATTCAACTGAACCTCAGAAGATGATTCAGCCAAAGAAGCCAAAGCTTGAGATCGAGAATGAAGAGCCAACAAAGCCAACAGAAATATATCATGTCTTGGAAGCGCCAATAAAAAATGAAAAAATTTGCAACTTGAATTACAACAAGGAAAAGCAAGTACTAGAAAAACAAACTGATGGGCAGGATAAATGGGAGTCGGATAATGTCTACATTGCACATTGCTCAGGAGTTATATTTAGCTCTGAGTGTAACATCAATGAAGAGTCAGCGTATAAGTCGACATCGAAACCACCTGCAATGGATGAAGCAAATGGCTACAATAAAGGAAATATCCACGGACAGTATGTCTCGCGTCGTGTCATATATAAATACGAGGAAAAGTACGGGAGTGTGAATATGTCAAATGAAGACGAGGCAAAGCCAGCTCGCAAAGAAAAAGCCCCGAAATTTAATTCTGAGCCCGGTAAACGGCGTTGTTCAATCCTGTAAAATTTAACAACAAATAAATAAATACATATAAAATATCTATATTTATAAAATAAAATGATCAGAAATATAGAAGGTCTGAAAGAAACATTAAACATATATTCATGATTATTTATGGATGTTTTATTTTTGTATTTTGTTAATATGGGAAATATATTAAAAAATATCTAAAACTGTTGAAGGCTAAAACGAAGATTCAACTATCAATCAATATATTTTTATATTTTTTTTATTTTATTTTATTTATTTTTTGCAATTCGAATGGGTAGAATTCTGACATATTACATAAAATGTTTACGTAAGACCATATATTGATATATAAAATAAATCTTTGGAGCCACAAAATATATAAAATATTGTAGCTTCGCCCATGGACCCAATAATGCCAAGCCCAGCTACAGCTAAAACATGTTTCAATAATCCAGAAATACATAGGTTTTTTTCGCATTTTATTCAAGTATTGTTTTAAACTGATTCACTAAATTAGTTTTTTTGTTTTTATTTTCTTGCATTCACTTTATGCTTAGTTTTGCTATATATCGTATGTAAGGCTAACTTCAATTGTATTGAGGCCTTCAATGAAGGCAAATTGTTTTTTAAAAGCTATTTTCGTGTGACATCACTGTGCTTATCTACTAAACTTAATCGTCTATTTTTTAAAATCAATTAAAATCAATTGGCCCACAATTGTATGTTGCTTGCGCCGTTTTTTTTTTTTTTTTTTTTTTTTTTTTTTTTTTTTTTTTCCTTTTAGCCATTATTTATGTAGTTTATCAAAAAATGGTCAGCTAAGTGACGCAATTCTATAAAATTCATAATCAAATTATCAACAAAACAACTTTAACAACTATGTAGACGCTTAGGGGCTATACGAGAATTTCGTTTATAAAAACTAGAAAACTTTGTCATCGATCGATATGTTTATGCTATAGTCTACATGTAAGAGTCGACCGGAAACCGTTCGGCCTCCTCGAGCATATGCCGGAAATCGACAGGCTGGGCGAGCGGAGCGACAGGTCCAGTGCCCGGTCGTCCACCCACGTGGCCGTTCATCATTTGATTGGGCCGCTTAGCACTCAGCTGGGCGCTGCCGCGACTCTTGATATGGCCATTCATCATGCTCACATGATGGCTAATCGTGGGCACAGCGCCCGGCACATTCGTCTCCAGGTCATGCAGTATGGCATCCGTTTGCTCGTTTCGCATCACATGATTGGCCAACGATTCGCTGGCATCTTCGCCCTCCAGCTTGTTGGTCAACTGCTGTATGTGATTGCGTATGAGCCGCTCGAATTCCCGCTGCACCGACGGACTGTCCGTGTCGCCATCGACCTGTAAGTATGTAAAGGTTTAGGCCAACTATCAGTATGGCTAAGAGAGTCCACTCACTATCTGCAGCCGATTGCTGCTGTCCATGGTCTTCAGCATAGGCAGCGTCTGCTCACGGAATATCTCCAGACGACGTCGAAATGAAGAGACCGTATCGTCTATGCGCCCGCGGCCCAGCTGCAACTTCGAGCAGTCCAAGAGTATGGTGGGTGGACGTTGTTTGTACTGAAACGTAATGGCAATTTTAATCAGTATAAAATTGTAGTAATCAGTGGAAAAATATACTAAATTATAAGATAATTACATTTATTTAATATAATTAGATAAGTATGCATGAAGCATTCAATGAATCTAATATGATTTTCTTAATATATTATATTTAAATAAACTTAAAATTATTTTGAAAATATATACAATATTTTTTAGCATTCAAATATTTTAGAATCGATTTATACTAAATTTAAAAAATTCAAGTACTTTAAATATTTATTTATTCATTTATAGAAAAATATTCCACAATTATCTAATTTCAAAAATAAATGATAAATATTCTCTAGTCCTATATAACTATATATATAAATATATAGTTATATATATAGTTATATATATAGTTATATAAATATAAGGTTATAGAGGATTAGAGAATATTTATAATTAATTTTATTATTTAGATAGCTTTGGAAAATTGTCTATAAATGAGTTTTTAATCAAATTATTTTTGGAAGTATATTTGCGTTTGTTTAATCTTTGCGATGCATTTAAATTATTTCTAAATTCACAGTCAACATAAATATTTAATAGAATAAATATTAAAACGTAAATTATGGAATTAATATTCATGTTAACTTTAACATTGACTATATTCATAATACTAGCCTAAGTTGTTTGCCGTAAAATCTCCGATTCACTCACCTTATTTTCAAAGTATTTGACCTGCTGCAGATTCCGTGGATAGCCGTCGATGATAATGCCGGTCTTATCGCGCAGCTGACGTATATTGTTATCCAGCAATTGATTCAGCGACTTCTCCGGCGCCATTTCGCCTGCGGCTAGGGCCTCTTTAACGGCATAGCTTTCGGTGTTGGCCCGTGGCGCCGAGTCCGTGATATTGCGCAGCAGACGCCCAACGCTGCAACGATACGTTGAGAATCAGTTTGCAAGATATATGTAAACAAATTATGGTAGATTCACCTGATGTGCGCCCAGCCGGGATTGAGGCCAACGGCCTTCAGGCACAACGTTGCCTTATTGCTGCCCGGACCGCCGATGACCCAAATGATGGGCGGTATTGGGCGATCCGGCTCGGATGCGTTTGGTTCGATGCTGGTGCCGGCATGATTCAGCTTCGGCTGCTGTGTAACCACTACGCCGCTGTCATCGTCCGCATTGGTGACGCCGCCGCCTGCTGCACGAAGGGTCGCTGCGGCGGTAGCTGCATTGGCGGCTATGTGAGAGATCACAGCATTTGTGACATTTCGTTCACCTGGCCCCGTCGCAGTCGCAGTCGCAGTCGGCGTCGCCGTCGCTGCGACGGCTTGGTCTGTAATGTGAGGCGCTTGGGCTTGACTAGGTGCGGTGTCTACGCTAACTATACTGCCGGGTATATCATGTATCCCTCTGCCCATACCTGTAACTCCGTTCAGTATGGCCTCTTGATTCTCGAGTGTACTCAATATGTCTAGCACAGCGGTGCGAAAGTCTTTGTACACCTCAGTGGGTGCACGCTCGCCATTTACCTGAATGGGAATATATTAAGAATATGATATAAGCGCCATTTCCATATCATTCAAATTTTTGTTTACTCACGGCCAATAGCATATCGCTTTGATCAAAATAATCAGCGACTGGCATCACATTTTTGAAGAAATTTTCCAATTCCATTTTGGCTAAGGAGAGTACAACATGACCTAATTTAGCACCATAATCGATTTGTTTCTGTAGCACCGACTGACGCCAGGATATTAAGATAACTCCATTAACGACTTGTATCTGAAAGTTATAAATAGGCATTGATCGAATATTAAATCTCTGCTTGTTCTATAAAAATAACAGTAAATAGTATTTAATGGGCACCAAACTCAATCGCACTTAACTAAACTAAATCTGAACTCGTGACCCTTTCACTACTTACTTAAACAAAATATTTTAGAATTTATCTAATAAATATAGCCACGTGTGGTAGTTACTTCCTTTTCTAATTAACATCAGGGCACGTCTAACTAGTAGAAAACTAAAATGTGCCTCTAGCGGCCACTTAAGACACTTAGTACATACACATATTTATTTATATATAAATAATTACATATGTATATGCTGAGGTGGGTGTGTTTGCATAAATATAGATCGTTGTTATGCATACGTTTCAAAATTCATGGGAATTAGTCAACAACAAATAAACGCTGACCCACTTGACAGCTAATTAGTGCAAATGGCCCAACAGCAATTTGCTTAACAAACACCAACCAAATAAACTAAAATTGCTTCATAATAAACTGCACTACACTAAGCAACTTCATAAATTCGAGTTTGTCCTAATTGGATATGTAATAAATGTGGATACTTGAAATATTTTGATTACCTTCTCCGAATACTCGACAACGTCGCGCATGGAGCGCGGATATCCTGATATTAGGTATGCTTTGGCAGCTGGAGCCATTTTCATTTCCAACATCAACACCTCGGTGACCGTTTTCGACGATAGTTGCGAAAAGTCCTGCATATCTGTAAATATTATTTAAATATAAAATTAGACTCGATCTAAATATAAAGTAATTATAATTATATTGAACTATAATTGCATTATTTTTATTTTTTTATTTATTTATTTTTATTATTTTACAAAATTATTTAAAATTATTATTGGTATTATTTAATTTTATTTTTTTTTTATAATTTATGAAATTATTTAAATATTATATTTTTATTTTAATGTAAATTTATTAATTTATTATGCAGTTATGTTATTTTTTTTTAATTTTTATAGTATAAAAACAATGATAAAAAAAAATAATTTATCATACATTTAAAATTATTTATAATTATAAATGTATATTGTACATAATTTAATGAAATGATAAAATCGTTAATATTATATTCATTACTTATATATTTTTATATGCTTTCTTTTACCTTTGATATACACTCATGATGAAAATAATAGATACACCAAATTTTTTTTAGAAATTCTGTCATAACTAATTAATTTTTGATATTTTTGAAAAAAATTTGATGGTAACTTTAAGGAAACCATCTGGCAATATGATGCATGCAAAAAAATCATACCTATTATTTCAGTCAAGCACAAAAGCTGCACTTTTGATTTTTTGTTTGTAACTTTTGAATAAATTATTATTTTTTTTTCAAATTTACTTATTTTCTTTTATATATACCTAAAACAGAAACGTGCATTAAAATTTTAATGTTTAGGTCAGTAGAAAAAATGTTTTGCTAAACTAAACTCAATTTTAAGAAGTGTACCTATTATTTTCATCATGAGTGTATATGTAGTAGTAGTAGCCATATTGTACTACTAACGAATATTATATCACCATATTGGCATATATAGTTGTTGTATCTAGTTCACTTACCGTTTCCCATTGCGTATTGCTGCAGCAGATCCATCATATTGATGTGCGTAACGCCGCGTCGCTCCTGCATGAATGTATCGCAATGGGTTACCTTGCCACTACCTGGGCCGCCTAAAACGAATATCACTGGCACCTTGGGCGGATCGAATTTGATTTTGCCAGCATTCTGCATGTCGATGGCGCCAATGTTGCCCGAACCGCCGTTCATGGCCAATACGCTGCCAGGCGGTGCATTTGGTCCGTTCTGATTCCGTGTATGATTCCAATCGTTGCCTGGTTCGCCGGTATCTTGTGCCGCGCTGGCATCTATCAAAGTATATGTAAATATGCAAATAAAATTTATGACAACATATACACAAGCAACAGTTAGGGGCGGGGCGAACGGCAACCGGAAGTGCCGTCAAGTTAGCGCCCCGCCTTGTTACGTGCCAAACGGCATTAGCACCGCCCGGAGACCGGAAGCAATTTGCTCAGCATTGGAAGTAGGAAATTAGCTGTACAGTGTAACACATCATTAAAATATGTTTCAGCAATTATTAAATTATGGAAAGCGCGCTCATTGCGTCATCGACACGAGCCGAGCAGTTTTTCATTCATGGAAAATCCGAGAATTTCGCGTATTTACTTCCAGTCCGACTGAATTCTACATTTCTGTGACATTTATTCGCTCTCACTTCTTTTTTTGTTTTTTTTTTGTATATATTGATTTTCTTGCAGTTTTATTTAATTGACATGTTGTTTTGTTATTGTTGCTGTCTCTTTTCAGCGCACAAAACCCGTTTTTCCTACATAAACGTTTTTTCTGTCATTGCTGTGACGCGTTGTGTTTCGGATTTTCATGTTAGATTGCTGCCGGTTTGATGGTCAACGAACATGTCCAAGGACCCTTGCGACGAGGCCGTCGTGGCTTGATACCACAAATTATAGTATTTGTGCAAGGTCCTTTTCGGATTAGAACTATTTTGTCAAAGCGCTTTATAATTTAAGGGTATTCATCCAAATTATAGAGCCATGGCAAGGAGTGTATTTACCTGTGATTCAATGCAAACAGATCTGATCACATTTGCTATCAATTTTACATTTTATTATGAAATTATTAAATCTGATTTTCGCAAAGTTTTGTAAAACAAAACGAGTTATTAATCTGTATAGTAGTAGAGATTGATAAGTATTTGCTGTCAAGGTGAATCGATAGCCTACATTTAGGGTTTACTAATAATTATTACTTCCATTTAAAGTTTTCTTTGATCTTTCTTAAGAGGTAATATATTTTTATTTGAAATATTATTCAAATAAAAATATAATTATATTTTATTCGAATATATAGATAAAAACATTTTTGATTAACAGTTTGAATTTACAGGTTAATTAAAGAAATTTAAAAAGTAATAGTTTAACTATTAATTTTTATTGAGCTTTTTTTTTAATATAAAATTTAAAATTAATGAATATTAAATTTATTATTTTAATAATATTATTTTAAACTAATTTTTTTTTTTATTATTTTAAATTAAATGTGCTACTTTAGGGAAATTTTATATTTTTTAAAAACAAAACTCAATTAAAATCTATATTAACAGTCTATTTTAAAACAATAGATCTTAACTGTTGCTCAACACTATTTTTATATAATATATTAACTTAATATTTAATTTTAGTT